TAGGAAGGAACATACAAACATTCTCTAGGGTTTTTTTGGGGGGAGGGCAATACTAATGAGATGACTAGTAATTGATCAAGTGTTGAAAATTGATCAGCTGAATGACAAATAGCAAGTGGACTGTGTGCTGAATGAATATCATTTGGGATAATTAAGAAGACACATCAGTTTTGTGTGGATTTAATGAAGCTTTAGTAGTTTTTTTTTTTTTTGTAGCACTAAGTGAAGTTTGGCCAATTATCAAGAGAACTGGGATTACTTAGTGCTTATGACATAAGGATTCTCTGATCTGATGTTTAATGCCTACTGTTTAAATTCACTATGTAAATATTATCTGTGGAAGTACAAGTGCAGGATGGTACAGTCAACAGACTATGTGCTTTGCAATGAAAGAGACACAAATCTGAATTCCCATCATAACTCTGAGGAGTATCATACTCACTCTATCCGAACCCTAATTTCCCGCCTATAAATGAGGAGGTCTGATTGCATGCTGTGGTTGTTACCATTTATTTGTTGGCTCAGCCTGAGGTTAAGCATAAAAGTAAAATAAAATATATATTTTTGATAATTCAGGCCAAATATGAAAATACAACTGCTATGGCGAACACTCCCACTGTTACCACTAGTACTCATACTCCGTCTAGTATTACTGCTATGACCACTACATCACCTACCATTTGCTGAGTGACTACTGTTGCTGGCACTATGCTAATGACTTTCCATGCATCCTCTCATTTAATCTTCAGAGCAGTTATTGTTATTATTATGGTATCAATTTTATTATTATCACAGTGTATAGAGGGGAATAGAACATTAATGAGGTTAAGTGGCATAAACAGAATTCATGTCCAGATATGTTTACCTCCAAACTCGAGCACTCAATCATTAAATCATGCTGATGGACATGCATAGAATTCAGATGAAGATTCAGTGTTTGCATGAATCATCCCGAGAAATCCCTCACTCCTCCAGGTTTCTCTGTCTGTACGTGGCATGAGCCCAGCTGGCAGAATCACTGAACATTTCAAAATGAAACCAAGAAAAAAATTCTCCTCAGCTGTAACACGAGTGCCAGCCCTGTTTGATCACAAGTCTGTGAGATGAAAGGCAGATCGGACTTCATTCCGTTGATTCACCTTTAATACATTTCACAGCACATACAGCAGATTTGGTAGATAACATTTACATATTTAGGATTTGTCAAATGAAGACTGAAAATGGCTCAAGTGTGTTTTGGTTGTTCGGATTGTTTTCCTAGTCTAAACCTTGAGAGAATTTGTCATAAGCCATAAATCGAATAAATGCCTCTGCTAAGAAAAAATGGAAGTTGTCATAAACCCAAATCATGCTGGAAAAAATAAGATTATACATAAACTGAATGGAAGGGTAGAATATTGCTAGAGGGAGACAGTTTCCAAAGGAGCCAGAAAATGCCACGTTAGTGAGCTGTTCCCTACATCTATTCTGCATCCATTTTTAAATGTTCTTTATCTGGATTTAGTCGTATGTTGGTCATATCATCTGCAACAAAATCTCAGTCATTTCTAGGTCAGCTC